TCAGTTTCGTATTCCACAATCAATTATTTCCAACTTTGTGTATCAGTGTGGTTTCCCTGTCTTACTTTATTGTTCACCTGTTATTTTTCCCAATCTCCTTAAGCAAGATTTTAATTTGCTTCGATGTGGATTGACCATCATTAGCTGCGTCTCTCCAATCCCACTAAAGGAGTTGATAACTAACCTATGCGAACGTCATTGGAATGCATGTGAAAAGTTTGCGCATAAGATTCTCATTGACTCCACACATCCGCTACGCGCTGACCTAACTTCCTGTTGTTCCCATCCTTCAACTAGACCACAATATCGTTGCGTTCCCTCTAGAATAAACATTTATCCTAACTCCACAGCACCCTCATTAGCACGTATTCTTGTTAACAAAGAACAGGTTTTTACAGAATTTGTTAACAGTTTTGGAACTTAAATCGCTTTTTTCATTGCTATTTTCATTTTCCCCCTTGCTCCAAACTGAATATTTTTAACTGAAATATGGGCAGAGGTTATTACAATACAATAAACAATGGTGTTTATGAATCTTCTCAATTTCTTTGCAACCTTAGTTCATCGAACTTCTCCATTTTTTCTCTTCGTTTCTACTTTTAACTTCCCTGTTTTTCTACTGCTTCTTCCACATAAGCTTCCGAAACTAAACGGAACCTATTACCTGTGCCCTTCCTGGTCTGTCTGTGTAGATTTTTGTATTACATCGGGATATCAGGTGTAATTCTTCTGGTTGCAGATTGCCGCTTATTACTCACCTATATACTTCTGGCGGGCGAACGTCCAATGGATTATAGGCGACCATACGGAAGACTGAATGGACAGCTGCCTACGTGAGACACTTATGCACTATCACGACACATGTCTGCTGTTCATCACACTTATGTAGGTGTGTTATAAAAATGTCTGTTACTGAAGGGCCTGATATATGCTGCGGCAATTCGACCAGTTCTAGTTTACGTTGAAGAGAATTATTCGGTGTGGAAAAACGGTGAACACAGAATATCGATGTTCGAACTCCGCTTCCTACACCGCGTTGTGTGAACCTGGTTGGACAGCTGGAGTCACTAAGCTTGACGTTAGGCAGAGAGTATTACCTAGTTGCAGTCACCCACTAATGCAAGTGCTGGACTTAGTCTGAAATAGCCAGAGCATGTCTTAAGCGTGTTTACAAATATTCTCCTCCTTAACATTCAGCGTTTGCCGAGGCATGTAACGAGTGAAAGAAGACTGAAGGTTATAAAAATACTCCTTGATATGGGGATATGAGGAATCTAACCAGGGACTTTGGTCAATAGGATCGTGTTGACCTTCCTCATTGGGAACTTCAGGATCAACCTAATCGATGTTTGGTGAGATTGAGTGATGTGGCTGAATGTTGTAGACAGTGGCACTCGGACGTTTACTAAACTTCTACAGGTATGTTGTTTCACCGGTTTGTTTAGCTTTATCTTGGTATTGTTATCATCTTTCACTTATCTAGTTTACTCTATACTTACTCTACTAAAGGAGCAGGCAAAGAATAACCGAAGGAGTATAAGTGTCGAATTGTAAGGTTTACAGTCATTTCAAACATCTGTATATAACATTTCTGATGTTTAAAATGTTCCCCAGTTTCTTTTTCTTGCAACTATACGTTAGACTTGGGCTTATTTTCGAGCTAGGTTTTCATCTGTGGTACACCGTAGGAGGAGAGCGCAAGCAGCTGTCGTGACAAAGAATTCCGACTTTTTATCTGGTTGCATTTCATAATAACGTTATAACAAAACATTGTTTAACATGAACAGCAAAAATACTGCAATTTGTTTGCATTTCAAATATCGACCGATGAAAATGGTCGTTCGGCGGTCTCCGAAGCGTAATAAGATTTCCTTATAAAATCAGTTGTTGCGTGAAAAAATAGGAAAATTTTATTCCATTCCGTAATGGTTTCTTCGTCGAAGCAGCAACTGAAAGGCTAAGAAGCACTGGACAGTTTTATCGACCTTACTGGGTCTCATCAGTAGTGAGAGCCCATCGAACCCGGAACTTCACGCGTTGATCGTAGGCATACTGCCCACTGGGCAGCTGATCAGACTGCTGTTCATTTTTTTTTATATACGTGATATAGAAAGTTTGAATATGACAATAGCAACGATGAGAAAACGAGCCAGTGAGTGAACAGTTGTGTTCGGATATTCTTCTTTATACCCTAACGCGTCCTATAGCAGTGAATGCTCAATAGTGATAGCAATTTGCCCGTATTAAAGTTATATATATATATATATATATATATATCGCAGGTGGAGTGTGAAGTAAATGAAATGAAAAAGTTCATGAAGAAGCAAGCCTATCACCATGTTTTCAACTTACGTACATGCGTTGTTCCGTTTTGACAACGTGAATTCCGCTGTTGTATTTTAACGAAGCAAAAGTCAAACTATTAATTTGAGCGCTTGTATAAAGTTCGCCTTAACTTTCAGCTTCAGCCCTTAGCTTCATGCACCCAATGAGACAAGCGGAACGTGGACGGGACAGCCTTTATTGGCTGGCGGCTGCCCAGCTTGGGTGGGTGGTGGCCGTCCAAAGACTTCTCCCACCGTCGAGAGGAAGCCCTAGGTACCCCGACCCCACGTCCATCTAGTGGGATTTTTGACTGGTAAATTGTTCCTCGCCTTGTTTATTCGCTGGATTAACCTATAGAAGGGCGAGAGTGGAGTCAAAGAAAGCCAGGTGTCCAAGCAACTAACCTTGTGAGACTGGCCTCTAACGATTAATCTTTCAGGTATGATTGGATCTGCTGCTGTTAGGAGCCATCCTGTATTGCTCGTAGGGTCATGTAGGCAAGCAAGCCATCACACCACATCAAGATGCAGTTTCGTCATGATGGGACCAAGTCTCTACAAATATGCTAACATATGTTATCGATGAGAAAAATACATGACAAGTGGAAAGCGAAAATGATAACATTATCTTTTTCGTATTATGTAACCATGTTCAACTCTCCACCACGGCTAATCGCTTTCTGTTATGTAACTGTTTCTATGCTAACATTCCCCTCCTCTTTTACCCATTTCTAAATGACTTTGGTAATGACTCAACAACCCAGTGCTTTCTGCCTGAATCTATGTAATTATACAAATGTTCACATATGGTATTCTCATGATAAAATTCGAACGGATCAAAGAGAAAGGATGTCTCCGAAAAAGATAACAGTCAAGCAAAGAAAATGAATACTTTTGTCAGCTAAATTGAAATCTATGCAGGTTTTAGTTTAATGGTTTAACAAAGAGTGAACAGTCTTGGCAAGTTGTAAGAGAATAAACAAAGAATTACCGGAATCCACCGGGAGATCCCAATGGAGCGTACGCCGTTACGCTCATCCCCAAGAATTGCACATATGCGACTAACTCCGTATTTGTGAAGTTAGCGTGCGCCTCAATTTGCAGATTGGTCGGTTTTATCCGCGAATGATGCCATATTTCGTTAATTTGTCTGCGGTTGAAGTTGGAGAGGCCGATGCATTTTACCAAACCCTTATCTACCAGAGATTCCATAGCCTGCAACATTTGAAAGTGTGGGACCGAAACGAGAAACAGATGCAACAACGAACGGAACAGAGTTCTCATATTTATGCTGCACGAAGAACACTAGAACATCCGGGAAATGGGTCATCCTTGAACTGCCAATGTGGTTAAATTACAATGCATCACAATAGACCAGTGAAGGTAAAGTTTTATATACAGTGGTGTTCGTGGTTCGATAGAAGGCTATTTAATGCAAGATAACGAAGACAACTAAGCCTTGAACAGCATTTACACGAGCAAAGTTTAGAAACAGAGGCAAGACAACTTTCTCACCTTTGTCAAACACTTTCCTAGAAGTCAATCTTACTACTCACTTTCAGTGAGAGCTATTATCGAAAATTCTAGATTTCACAAACCAGGGTATTATTTAGATGGAACAATAATAACTGGCTGTTTGACAGTGCAATCACCGGTCAAGTCCAAAACATTCACAGATATAACCGGGGGTGTCTTCCATGTAACTCGGGTTTATCAGTTCAATGTTGATTTATATAAAAGCCAACGGCAGGTACTTCCGACGTCTTAAGGTTGTGACATCAAATGCT